GGAAGGTGCAGGACCCCTGTATGCCAAGCGGGGCTCTGCCTCCCGCCTAAAGCCCTACCTGGCTTCAGGTGAAAAGGCAGAACGCCCCGGGCTCTTTGGCCTCCTGCAGACCCGCGGCCGGGGAGTTGCAGCTTGGACTCGAGGCGCTTGGGGCACGCGGAGGAAAGGTCCTCCCTCCTCCGTTGCTTCGCAGAGGCGCTCGGGCGTAGTGGCGAAGGCCCGGGGCTGGAAGCCAGGAGCGCCCGCGGCCTCCCGAGGCAGGAAAGCCGGCTGGGCGGCTCTGGGGCAGCCCCCTCCCTCAGCCCCGCAGGGTGGGGAAGAGAGGAGGTGGAAGGAGGATCAGGTATCTTCGCCGCCTTGAGTTATATATAAAAAAGGCAGGATAAGAATCGAAGGATAATGATGATAATAATTCCCCCCCTCTCAAAACTCTTATGCACAGATTCCCCCTTACAGAACTGTGTCACTTGCCACGAGAGTTAAGCGGGCTGGACCTCTGCTTTGGGTGCTCGGCCGAGTCTGTCGGGTGCTCTGCACCCTCCCCAGGGGCTGCTGTAGATTGGGGGGGCTGCCCTGCCCACCGCAGGCTGCTTTTCTCAGCAACTTTAAGATGGGTGGACTTCGACTCCCAGAATTCCCCAGCCAGCATGCTCTAAGATGGGTGGCCTTTGATTCCCAGAATTCTAGAAGTCAAGTCCACACGTCTTTAAGTGGCCGAGGTTGAGAAACACTGGTCTCTCACGGTGACCTCCCATGGTGTGGACTTCAATTCCCAGAATTCTCAGGTGTGGCCAAGTGAGTTGAAGTCCACACACCTTCAAGTCGCCAAGGTTGAGGAACCCTCCTTTACAGTCATTGCGCAGCAGAAGGGAGTGGGGTGCAGCTATTGAAAAGAAGCATAAAAATAGAAAAGAGGTAAGAAAAATAAATATAAAAGGAGATAAAACGTGAAAGCCTCTAAGGAGTTACCAAAAGCTAAATAAAGTACATTGGTTAAGATATAACCCTGGGGATTATACTGGGGGTCCTTGACATGCTCCCATTTCTTGAGCTGTTGACTTCAGAGGAAAAAGGGGGGGATGGCCTTGACATCGGATGCAGGGATAAAAATGTAGGAGGGGGTTGGATTAACACTCTGCCCCTCCCCACTCATCTTTGTCATCTCACTAGTCCCAGGTTGCCCAATGTTACTTATTTATTTTATCTGCACTTCTCTTCCTTAGCCTGTTTCCCTGGGTCAGATGTTAGATTGTAAGCTCCATGGGGCAGAGACTACAGGTAGTCCTCACTTAACAACCACAACAAGGACCGGAAAATTCATTGTTAAGTGGGGCAGTTGTTAAGTTAGTCACCCCTGATTTTATGACCTTTTTTGCAATGGTCATTAAGCGAATTGCTGTAGGCGTTAAGCAAATCTTATGGTCATTAAGTGAATGGGGATTAACCCCATTGATTTTGCTTGCTGGAAGCCAGCTGAGAAGGTTGCAAATGGGGATCACATGACCCCAGGATGCTGCCACCGTCGTAAATCCGAGCTGCTTGCCAAGTGCCCAGATCATAATCACGTGACCGCAGGGGTGCTGCGACAGTTGTAAGTGTGAGGATTGGTTGTAAGTCCCTTTGTTCAGCACCGTCGTAAGTTTGAATAGTCACTTCACGAATGGTTGTTAAGTGAGGACTACTTACAATTCTCTTGGAAGCCCTGAGGAATTGTAGGGAGATGAGGCACTAAGGGGACCCAGGTCGTCTCCTCCCTGGTTTCCATGCTGGGTGCCGAGAGGAGAAACCCACGGTTTGCCCTGGTTTGCCCTTTTAGCGGGTAGGCTTTTTAAAAAACCTAATGCAAGTCAGTTCCTCTGATTTACCAAACTGCGACGTGGCAGATCTTCCCCTGTATTCAATCCAGGGGTCCTCAAAGTATTACTTCTAAAGCGAGGGGGAATAGTGGATTATGGGATTTGCAGTCCTGTGTTGGGTTTACAGTATGGGATTTCCAGTCTACCCCAGAAGGGTTGCAGTCCCCCTTCCTGTTCTGCAAGTCTTTCTTTACTGGATGAAACTCCATTAAATGACGAGCGTGCTTCTCCCTGAATTGCATTTTCCAAATCTGAAGATTCCTCTGGCTCTTTATTCTGGCTCATCATTCTTATTTTTAGCCTGGCCAGCGCCCGTTCAATTGACACTGGCTTATTCATAACCAAGCTGAGGCGGCTAGGAAAAGTCAGGCTTGCTCTGAATAGTCATTTACTCTTTTCCTCATTCAAACTTTTAGTTTACTTTTTATTTTTAAGGGAGGGTTTTTCTCCCCCGCCGATTGGGCCGAGGTTGCGTTTGAATGAAAAGCGGGTTAGAAATACTGAAAATCCATAAAAATAGGAAAGCTATTTAAAAAACAGAAAAAAGGAGCATGTCGTAGGTCGTACACCAGAGAGAAATCCAGCCTCAATTGCAGTGGGGAGGGGGGGGGAGGCAGGTTCTGTTCTCTGGCTGTCACTCTTCCTGCAGGGCCCGCGGGATTGGCTGCAGGAGGCTCAGGGGCGGGGCCAGCTGTTTTAAAGAGATGAATGGAGGAGAACGGGGGTGTGGCAGGAATCAGAGTAGCAGGAGAAGCAGGTGAGGGGCTGGGGGGGGTGGGAGTCACAGAACACAGGTAGGAATGCATTTTGCAGGG